ACCTAAGGCCTGGAGGTTTGTTTTGAATTTTTGAAAAGCTCCTTGTAAGATCTTATGATCCTTATGGGCGATAAGAATGTCATCCATATAATGTAAAATATAAACCTCAGTCAGCAAAGGTCTGCAGGCATGGGCCACATAATATTGGCAGATGGTAGGACTGTTTTTCATGCCCTGAGGCAAAACCTTCCATTGATAGCATTGAACTGGAAGGTTATGGTTAGTGGCAGGTATAGAGAAGGCAAAATAGGGCTTATCATCATCATGAAGAGGAATAGAGAAGAAACAGTCCTTAATATCTATTATAATAATTGTGCATTCTTTGGGAATAGCAGTAGGGTGAGGCAGTCATGGTTGGAGGGTCCCTAAAGGCTTTATATGCTCATTAATAACCCTTAAATCATGTAAAATTCTCTATTTTCCTGATTTCTTTTGTATTACAAAAATGGGAGAATTTTGAGGACTAAAGGAGGGCTCGATATGACCCAAGGATAATTGTTCCTGGACCAAAGAGATCAAGTGAGTTAATTTATGTAAAGGAAGAGACCACTGCTCCACCCATATGGGAGCTTTAGTGTCCCACATTAGTTTGATGGGGGGCTGCATGGACAGTGGAGCAGTGGCCATTAGAATTGGGGTTCAGGGTGAGGGGCATTACCTAACCGCTGGCCTATGATGCAGTCATCATAAAAGGCTTTGTCATGTGTAGTTAAAACAGCTTCCACATCATGAAGGATATCTCTCCCCCACAAATTATGGGGAAGCCCCGCAGCTAAGAGTGGTCTAATAGTTCCTGTGTTGCCGCTCAGATCAGTCCAGATTACCAGATGTTGGACATGTTGGGTGTTCTGTACACCCCCAACTCCTTGTATAGGGGGTCCAGGTTTGCAGTGCCAATGAGACAATGCTTCCTCTTGTCTGATTACAGTAATATCAGCCCCTGTATCAATTAGGCCTTTAAACTTATGGCTATCTAGGGAAAATTGCATCCTAGGCTTATGCAAATCAATAGGTATTATCCACTGGACGTGGGGTGTGTATTCCCTTCCTCTCTTTGGGGTGGGGCTGAGAGGCTCCCCGTTGCCCATTTAAAGGCACCTTTTGTATGGGTTTACCATCTGGATCCACCTTAGACCTACATTCTCTTGCCCAATGAAAGCCTTTCTGGCATCTTGGGCATTTTGAAGGGGGAACCTGGCTCCTTTTGGCCTCTTTCATAATCTTATTAGGATAGGTACATGACCAATGGCCCTGTCCCCTACAGGCCCAACATTTGCCTTTGTCCATCTTGGCCTGTGGCTGATGAGCAGTCAGTGCCTCAGCATGGGCCACGACATGGGCCCGAACAGTCCCCACATCTCAGCTGGCCAGAATCCATTCAGAGACATCCTTGTATATAACGGGTCGTATGGTAAGGCAGCACTCTGTAGAGCAGCCTTCATATACAGGATCCTTGAGTAAGGCATCGGCAGCTCCCTGATGACTGATCTTTCTATTTATACTTTTCGGCATCTCGCAACAAAATCGGAGAAAGACTCGTGTGGTTTTTGTATCAATTTGGTTAATTTGGTATCACCGTGAGTTGGCATACTTTGAAAAGCATGAAGCAGGCAAAGCCATACTTGTTCAAAGTAGCAGGGAGGTCCCTGTGCCTGATCTTGCAAAATTGCCACATCCTACTAGAGCATCAATTCCAATGTTTTGGACATTGGCATTTCTATTGCGCTCTGCCTGTTGTTCACATTCATCTTGGTAAGCAGCTTTCCATAAAAGAAAATCGCCTCCCTGTAAGCAGGCATGGGCGATATTCTGCCAGTCATAGGGGGTATTGGCCAAATGACTGATTGTATCTAATAATTGACCAAACCAGGGGGAATGAATACCATCCTCAACTGCTTCCTTACACAGCTTCCTTAAAGCATCATGAGAATATGGATTCCAGACATTGGGGTTCTGTTGTCCCTGATTGACAGTAACTGGGAAGAACTGTGGAAAATCTCCCATTGTATCATAGAAGAGGGGCCTAGGTGAGAGGGGCTTCCAGTCCTCTGGGAGGGAGGGGTCGATGGACTGGGGGGAAACTTCCTTAAAGCCAGCATAAGATGGCAGAGGGTAGCCACAGCCCCATAATGGCAGAGCAGAGGTGGAAAAACCTGTTTTTCATCAAGGGAGCTCTCAAACCCCAATTCCTCATTTTGTATATCATCATTAGCAGTCACTGTTTCATCAGAACAAGAATCTGTTAGTTTCCTTTTAACTGGAAATTCCTGGGACAGGCCGTCCCCAGCATCCTGTTGTATTTGCTCATCTACCTCCTTTAATAGGAGATTGTCCTGTTGAGGGGAATTGGGGAGAACCCCCCCAAAGGGAGGCCAGAATGGATGTCACAATTGGGTAGCACAGCCCAGACTGTGGGCATCCCTCCCTGACTTCCCTACAACAGGCCAAGAATAGAATGCAAGCCAATTATTCGGGACCCCAGCAACAAGAATCTGCAAACCAGGGGGCACGAGCTAGTACTTCATCTAAAACCTTAGTTACGTCCTTTTCTGTTACCCTAATATGCCTACTCCTGAGGAGAGGAACCAGTGCAGCAATGCAGGGGCTGGCAGCAGCTAAATGATTATTCCCCATACCGGAGGTCACTCACCCTGCAAGAGGTGCCCAGAAGGACTCAGGAGCCATTCAGGAAGACGATCGGCAGAGACAGGATTGACACGCCAAACCGAAGACAGCGAGCCAGGAGAACGAAAGCAGCAAGCACCCACAGAAGAATCACTGGCAAAGGGGGCATCAGGAGCCCCAAGTGTTACAGCCTTGAATGTTACAGCTCAGAGTGTTACAGCTCCACGGGGCAGGAGTCTTCGTGCCCCACGTTGGGTGCCAGCTATGGTCACCAGCCGTGGCTGCTCTCCTCCGGCTATGGTCACTCTCCTGCTCTCTCAGTTCCTCCAATCAGTTGTCTGGTCCGGACCCCAGGGCTGGTGAGGAATCTGTACCAGTGTCACCACATTCAGACGCTGGAGACCAGGCTCAGTGACACAGAACTGCTTTATTGCAGGAAAGTACGGGCTTATATAGGGGTAATAGTCCAACCAAAACACAGCATATGGGATCCCTTATTAGCATGGCAGACTAGTATCCTATTACAATCTAGCATAGAGGTAATAGTCCAATCACAACACAGCATATGGAATCCCTTATTAGCACGGCAGACTCGTATCCTATTACACTCTAGCGGGCCAGATGCCCCATTAGAAGCAATGCATTCCAGCATGATAAGTATTTAAGGCAAAAGGCAAAATCAGTCACAAGATTTTCCACAACAGAAATGGACCAAACAAATAAAACAAAATAAAATAAAGCTAAGACCTTGAGTGTGATCCTGCTAATCACATCAGTGCTAGGTCATACAGTTCATAGGTCAGATGCTCCAACTTTCACTGCCGGGCTTCACCTGTTGAAGTCATTTCAAATTATGTGACATTTAATTCCCAACCCAGTGCTAAAGTGCTAAATTCCCTGCCCATTTTGTGGGTGAGGATGCTCTCAGAGACACATGGTAGGATACAGAGGTCTCTCATAGGGATGTCCCTAGGGAATCTCTTGTATTTCTAAGGACCTGTATCATCCTTGTCCACACATTTCCCCCTTTTAGGATTCCAGTGGAAGCACCCTGTTAATCCTGTTGAAATCTCTAATTGGCTGTATCCTTAACTATTGAGAGTGAGGAATGAAACCTTGACCATTTGACCATGCCATCATGAAGAGGCCTTGCCTTGTCATTCTACATTTTACATTTCCTTCTAGCCACTATAAAATTTGAACAGGAAGTGTGATGGCCACTTAATGGCACATTAACTACAACAGAAATCATATTTCAATATGATTTGTTTCCTAAAAGACAAGCAGGTGGA